TAACTCGGGTGTGTGTGTGGAGAGAGAGAGAGAGAGAGAGAGAGAGAGAGAGAGAGAGAGAGAGAGTCTGGTTCTTAGCTCAGGAGCACTGACACAAAGTGTGTAATAAACGGAATCTGGTGGTGACAGTGGTTTTAATCCATGTCCACAATCCCATTTCTCAGATGCATTGCAGAATTCAGAATTTGTCTGATTTTATGAAAGTGATATACTATATATCATATATATATCAGAGTACTCTAATAATCAAACACACTAGTATTTCTACAATCCAATGAAAAGTCTAAGTGGGGTAAAGACTAAAAATAGCCTCGTTATCAATTCAGGTCAAGCGTAGCCACACACTGTAGCCCAATTTTGTTCACATTTTTAGAGGCTTTTCTTTTTCAGTGTACAGATAAAAAGTCGTGAGTCTCTAGTAGTAACTGTGGTCAGAGAAAACCCTGTTGCTCCCACCACGTTGCTCCCATGTGGGTTTCTCTCGGGGGTCACTGGCCTAGGGTACAGCAATTCCTTCTTTCCAACGCCCTCTCCCGACTACCCCCATCTTCCCTCCTTAGAATTTGCAGGACTCAGCCCTAAGACTCAGGAGAGGAGCAGTGAGGAGCCCAGCACAGAGGATCCCTCAATCCATATACCGCCCCTGGACTCCCAGGGAGCCAACTCGGTAAGACCCCAGGGCTGGACCACCGGGTGTGCAGGAGAGCACTTAGATAAGGACACGGGGCTAATGTTTGGAATCAGAAAAGAGGAACAAAGGACCAGCTTCTGCCACTGAAATATTCCTAAGGTAAGAGGACTTGCCTCCCTGACGAGCAAACCAAGAGAAATGGGATTAAGCTGCCATAGGAAGGATTGAAGTTGGACTTCATATAGGACAGCTGGCTCCTGAGCAGGGGTTAGGAGCAGGCCATGGATTTATTTGGTAAAGGACATTTGGAACCTAAAGGGAGATCCTTCCCTGCCCAGGCTGAGTGGGCAGTAGTCCTGCCTGGAGATGCAGGATGGATGAGAAGACTGAGCTCTGATTTTGCAATCCTCACTCCCCCTGCACAGGCTGGCAAGGATTGGAGTCCTACCTGACACCAGAACCAGCTTCCTGAAGAAGTGGGTGGTTGGGCAGACCAGGGGGGCAGAAATGAACCTCTGACCACTCAGTCACTTCCCCTTCTGTTCTTGCCCTACAACAGGTCTGAGGCAGCAGCATCCTGGCATTGCAACTGCAGTTTGGGAATGCATGGACACTGGATATGTGATTTCTTACTTCACTTTTGGGGAAAATCTCTCATTTTTAAAAAGTGATAAATTTGGTGTTAGGTCCTTGGCACTTTCCTTCTTTCCAAGCTTGGAGAATCCTTTCTGCCTCCCCTCCTGTCTGTCCCCTCTTACCCAGCTGCCTCTAGGAAGGAGGAAATAGGGTTGCTAGGCAAAAGCTCCCTGACCTTGCCTTTACTTGCTACAGGAAGAGAGATGGGGCGGGTCAGGCAGGTAGGACGACTGACCTCTAGAGTGCCAAAAAGGAAGGTTGGCCTCAGGTTCTGGATTCTGAGGAAAGATCCAGCCACCTGGCAGGGTTGCCCTGCAGCTTTGAGCCCTGGAGCCTGTGCCCTACAGCTGTGACGATGCTATGGGCGCCATCTGCTGGACGAAGGAGGGAGGTGCACCCTGGCCCTTGGCCCATGATGAAGGGGTGGGGGAGTCATGCGTTCCATCCTCCACCTTGAGACCACCTTCCCTCAATCCGCTCCATGAGCAAAAGTGGACAGAGAGCACAGTGACTGCTAAGAGACCCTTGCTGGGAACAAGTAGGATTGCCTTCCCCTCTGTTCCAGGTACTGAAAGACCAGGGTAAGACAAAAACCAAGCACAGGTGAAATGTCCTCCAGTCCTACGGCAGTCCTGACACTGACTGATTTTCCCCAAGTAGAGGAGGACAGGAAGGAGAGAAGGCAAGTTTCATCTGCCTTCCAGGCTGAAGCAGCAGCGTGGCACAGAGAGAAAAGCACAGCCCAGGAGAAGTGTGAGGCCGTACTTCTGCTGGGCACTACCGTTTGCCCTCAGACAAGGCCTCCTCTGGAGGCCTCAGCTTGCACAAGAGTACACCTCACCAGGATTGTATCTGTTTTAGAAAGACAGTGGACGAGAAGATCCTCCAGACACAGACAGCCCAGTCTCCTTTCTTTATTGATCTCTGGCTATATCAGGGGCCTGGGAGACCAAGGGCAGGGGTGAGTCACATGCGTCTCTGCCCCACTGGGATGGGGACAAGTTTCAGGGTGGCAGGTCTAAGAGGCCATGGATATGAACTTCACAAGAACAGGGCCCACTGTACAGATGCATGGTTGGTATTTACAAGAGAGGAGGCGGCAGTCACCTGGACTTTGGCCTTTCAGGGGCAAGATGGGAGCAAGGAGGAGGCCTGAGGAGAAGGGGCAAAGGGCCTGGCTGGGCTCTCTCCAGAGGTCACAACAGCAGAGCCCTGAGCCCCTCCCACACCTGCCTTGTACCCGCCGCTTTCCCAGGGAGGAGTTGCTTGGTACCAGCAGCTGAGCCAGTTCTGGGAGACCGGAGGGAGAGAGAGGAACCTCTCTGTTAGCAACACGGGATTATGCGATTGTACCTTACCCTCCCCATACACGGGAGACCCAACCCAGCTGGACTCTCCTGCCTGTGCTCATAAAATGCATCCTGAAGGTGCTTTGCTGGGGAGACCACAAAGCACTTTACAGACATTGGTCGGATGGGAGCCCCTCCTAGCTCCAAAGGAGAAGAAAGAGTCAATGGGCTGAGACAGCCAGGGCAGGTGACAAGCCCCAGGAGCCCAGACCAGCCCCGAGTTCTCTAGGACCCCAGGAAAGGCCCCCCCTCAGACCCTGGTCCCAATGGCTCCTCTCTTCCATTTCAGCACGGGAGAGAGAGAAGATGGCAGGGAGTCAGGCCAGGGACGGGGCCAAAGCAGTGCAAGTCTGGAGTAATGGGGATGCCCACCCCCACCCCATTCTAGAAAAGAACCATGCCCTGAAGGAACCCCCTCCCCTCCCCACACACAGGGTGTAAAAACCCCAGCTTTCTACCCAATTCCAGCCCTTCCCAGAGGAGGAGAAAGGGAACCCAGACCTGCCAGCTAAGATCTGGGGTGGGGGGCTGAGGGAACCCCCAAAATGTATTGCTTAGAAACTTGGAGGCAAAGGACTGGGAGGGCCCAGGGGGCTGGCATCTCGGCCCTGGGAAGCCTCAGGAAGGTCCCTCTCCCAGGCAGCCATCAGGCCAGGAGGGGAGTTCAGGGACAGGGGGACGGACACAGTGACCATTGGGAGCCTGAAGTTTCCCAGTCTTGCTGCCAGGAAATTAAAGTGCACCCCAATGGGTGTCGGTGGGGAGGAGCCCTTCCCCCAGCCCCACAATCTCTGGCGTTTGGCCTTCGGGTGGGTTGTCTCTTCTGCGACCTCCATGCTCCCTTGGAGCAGATGGGGGAGCCAGTCCTGATGGATGGTGCTAATGACATCAAATACTTCAGACTCAGTGAGGACCTGAGGAAAGAGGGAGAAGCTCAGAGCTCGGATCTTTGCTGTCATCTCCTGACCTTCCTTCTCTAAATCCTGCCAGGTCTCGACTCAGCCCCACGTATGGTTGTAAAAAATGCCCATCAGGGGCTGGGGATTTAGCTCAGTGGTGCCGCCGCCTGCCTCGAAAACGCAAGGTTCCAAAGTTCTACCTCCAGTACAAAAAGAAATGCCCAACAGAAGCTGCCAGGCGAGGGCATAAGCAGGGTTGAGACAGAAGTCACGCTCACCTTGGCGCCCTGAGCCTTGTGCCCTGTGTGTGTACCTTCCCTGCCCTCACAAGGCCTAGTAAGGGGCCACCTTGCCTGCTACTGTCTATCCTTCTTGCCGGTCTGTGGGACCAGAGGAAAAAGGACTTCCCTGCTTCCCACCCACACCCCCCCCCTCAGTTCTTTGCCTTCACTTCCTCCACTTTACTGCCTGGCTAGCAAGCAGGAGAGACCCTCACACCTTCTGCAGCCCCGAGATGGCCATAGTGACACAGTGCTCCCTGCTGTCCCAAGACCTGCTCACCTGGGCCAGCCCAGGGCTAGTCCAGATTCCCATTCTGGTTGTGTTCATCTTCCGCGGGGGATGGCGGCGCTTCCTCTTCACAGGGGGACAGCTCATCTATGGACATCTGGTTGGTGATGCCTGGGGAGGGATACAAGGGAAGCTGAGGTCAGACCAAGGAGTGTTTTCCCCAGGACCAGTATGTGGAGAGCAGCATTCTATTGCCCTTCCTCTGAACTGAGCTCCATTCCTCCCACCCCCACTGGAAGAGCCTCTCTGACCCTGCAGGAACTCACAACCCCCACCCAAAGGAAAAACCAGAACCACCACATTACCCAAATGGACAAGGGCATGTACCCAGACCACAATGTCTATGGGATAACCTGTGTCTGTCCCTGTGCTCTCTCCAGCCCCTGTTCTGGAATAGTCTGGGCCATTCAGTTAGTCAGCCTTTCCTGTGACCTAACTTCAGTCTAACTGGCTCCATTCCCAACTCTAGGAGGCAAAGAGCTGCCGGAGGACTTAGGAAAAAAGGAACCTACTACTGTTCTAGAAGCCAGTCCCTCAAGGTCCACGGCACCCCTAATAGCACCCACCACTTGCAGCCCGTTCCTTCCATTTCTGTTTGTTCTCCTGAATGTACTTGGTCCAGGTGGAGCGGAAGCTGACCACATCAGGGTTGGGGTCTCCCACATCCACATCTAGAGAAGGCTGGCGCCACTGGAAGCTAGAAACAAGACCCACCCCCCAGTCCAGAGGTGAGACCCAGTCCACTCCAGACTGACCTTTACAGCCCTCTGAGTGGAGCCAATGGGAAGCCAGAAGATTTAGGAAGCCAAGTCCTTCTTTTTTCCAGCTACTAGATAACCCCCACGTCCCTGTCCCTCACCTTCCTGCTCCACCCTCCCTCACCACACCTTCTCTCCTGGTAGAAGGAAAATCAAAACGAGTACATCTGAAAGGCAATAAGACAACTAAAATGGCCAAGTGTGGTGACATGCCTTTAATCCAGCACCCTGGGAGGAGGAAGTAGGAGCTCTACCAACTCGAGCTCAGCCTGAACAACTCGGTGAAATTTTTTTAAAAATTTTTTTGGGGTACTAGAGATCAAACCCGGGTCCTTGTGCTTGCAAGGCAGGCAATGGAACCACTGAGCTAAATCCCCAGCCCAGAAATAAAAAAAATTTAAATTAAAAATTTGGAAAAGAAGCTAGGGATATAGCTCAGTGTGAAGGTGGTGGGTTCAATCTGCAGTACTAGAAAGGAAGGAAGGAAAGAAATGGAAAGAAAGAGTGTACACTGTACTACAATCAGAAAAGAGGTTTTTTGGACTGTTTCTGTAGTGTTGGAGATTGAACCCAGGTTCTTGTACATGCGAGTCAAGGACTCTACCTCCGAGCGCGAAGTTGTTTTTCTGGGGTTGGTCATGTGCATGCACACACGTGTGTACGTGTGTGTGTTGGTTGTGTTTTACAGTACTGCAGACCAAGCCCAGGAGAACTTTACCTCCAAATTACATTCCTGTCCCCTTTTATTGTTTTATTTGGAGACAGGGTCTCACTAAGTTGCCCAGAACTGGAATTTATGACCCTCCTGCCTCAGTGTTAAGAGCACAAGCGTGTGCACCACGCCTATAAAATGTGGTGGGGAGCAGCCATGCCCTTCTGGTCCCATCCTTCCACTCTGACAAACAGCAGAGGGGCTCCCAAGTTTGGAGCAGCCTGCTGCCCTACTACAGCCGTGCCAGAACTGTACCTCCTCCCCAGGACTCCGTCCTCTCCGAGAGTCCCACATCCCTCCCCAGAAGCGGGAGACCTGGCTACTCTGCCACCTCACCTGGGCTGGTTTTTGGTCTTGGAGTCCTCATCTGCCAGGGGCTGGACGCTCTTCTCTGCCACATCAGTCAGCACAGAGAACGTGGGCTCCACAATGAAGTCAATGAAACCTGCAGAGGAGATGTCTTACGTGGGACAGGGTCAAGGTGAGGAGAGCTGGCACAGCCACACCCCCGGTGCAGACAGAATGGGAGGGAAAGCAACCCGTGGATGAAGTCTTTGTGAGCCCAGTGGACTCCCACGATTACACCCCAGCCTTCCAGCGCAGAACCCCATTCTCTACCACCACAGAATTCTTGCCTCTACAAGAAGAGGGATCTGTGGGCTTGGAATTTGGAGAAATCCTGGGCCTGGGCAGCATCCTTTCCCCTTCCCCGTTCCTCTCCTCCCTGTAGCAAAGGACACTCACCAATCTGGGACTGGGCCACCAGAGTGGAAGTGCGGTCACAGAGTGGAGAGAAGGGCAGGCCAAGCTCTGCCTCCTTGTCACCCTGTAGAGAGAGGACACCTCAGACCCACTGGTCAGTGGGTTGCTGTGGCAGGAGAGGCGTCTGCACCTGTGCCCAGGAGATGCAAGATGCGTAACTGGATGCAACTGTGGACAACCACAGTTAAGCTTTAAGGATAAAGCGTTTTTTGATGTTTTTTGTCTTTTGTGTTTTGTAGCTTTTCTGTTTGCAGGGTGTGGGGTGGTTGAAGTATTGGGGGTTAAGCCCAGGGCCATCACAATGAGCTGTATCTTCAGGCCCCCCACCCTTTTTTGGGGGGCGGGGGACAGGATCTCACTAAGCTGCTAAGTTTCCCAGCCTGGGCTCAAACCTGCGATCTTTTTATCCCACAGTGGTGCTGGGGTCAGGTCAGAAGCAAAAGGTGGCTGAATGAAGATATGAAACAGGGGCAGAGGAGAACTTGCAGAGCAAAAGGGGCAAGAAAGCCCCCATGGGCAGGGGGTGGGCAAAAATGCCACACTACCTGGCGGAAGAACTCCTCCATGAGGGCCTTTGTCCAGCGGCTGTGCACTGACCACTGCTTTGTTGGGTGGCTGATGTCAGCAGCATGAAGGAGAAGTGACAGCGCCTTGGACTTGTCGATCCTGGTTGGGGCAGGTGGCAAGGAAAGAGAAACTGATCTTTTAGGAGAAGGAAACCTGAGCCATCTTCTAACCTCCCATCAAATGCCCTCAGACCCATACATGAATAACTTCATCCTTTCACACAACTTCAAACACCCTCCCAGGACACAGACACAGGCATGCACAGACACGCGTACGCGTGCATGGCACGCGCGCACACACACACACACACACACACACACACACACAGGTAGCATGGGCGGCAGCACAGGTTACCACAGCTAAGAACCTTGGCTCTGAGAATCAAAAGTGCAGGTTTGAATCCTCCCACATCTACAATAAACTGGCTGTGTAACACTGAACAATTTACTTAAAATTTCCACATTCCATTTTCTTAAGCCCTAAAATAGAAATAACAAGTCTAATACATATTGAGTTGTTCTGAAATTAAGTGATATATAACAAAATAAGCATTTAAAAGAGTGGCACATAATAAGGGCTCAGCAGATTATAATGACAATACTGATTATACTGATTATAATGATAATCATTATTATTGTTATACCCCCAACAATGCCCGGCCATGGCACTGCACAGACACCATACACAGAGATTGTTCAGGTTACACAAAACAGTCTGTTCTCCCTTATACACATTTACATACTCCCACCTACTTCTACAAAGCCTTAGATGCAACTATGGCATTTGTTCTGCCCATTTTTTTAACCTCATGTGACTCTCCAATAACCCTATAGAGCAGGAACTACTGGCAAGCAGTTGTGAAAGGAGGCATATCATTTTCACTATTTCACAAACAAGGACACTAAAGTCCAGCAGAGTTGAATGAATTTCCCAACATTCCAGAGTAAGCCTGTTGTAAAGATGCACTGAGTGACTCCATATCAGACTATGAGCCCACACGGCCCCCAAATGACCAGCTGCCCAGACTGTACATAAACCCAAGGCCACGTTTGCACACACACACACTGCCACAGAGATACACTCACACAGATGCCCAGAGCCAGCAGTCTCCACACCCAGGTAAAGAAAGACCTGGCAACCAGCTACCCAGCGTATACCCAGTTCACACACCCCTCCCTCTGGCCTGGCCCCAGCAACACCCCGCCAGGGGCCACCTCTCTAGCTGCTGCAAGGCTGTCTTCATGGACTTCACTTGCTGGAAATGGCAGGACATGTCTGTGGCCAACACCATCTCAATGACCAACGCCCGCAGCTCTCTGAAAGGACAGAAAATGACAAGTGATCAGCACTCCCAGCACTGCTGGACAGGGAGTGCGGGAGGTGGGAAAGAGAGGTGTAATGACGGGTCTCTCGGGGATGCCAAGAGCTGGCTCCTGCTCACACAAACTCATCCTTAGTGAGGTTGATGAAAATGTTCATCTCGTCATCCTGCATCATCCGGAACACAGAGCTGATGTGGTGATTTTCCAGCACGGAACGGTCATTGTACAGGATGGCACATTCTGACCTGCAGTGTCAAAGGTCGTCAGGTCCAGCCCCCTGGAGGGGGCCCTCTGATGACCTCCCCCACCCCCAGCTGGCCCCTCCCACCCATGCCGCGTCCCCACTGCTCACTTGGTCTGGATGTGGAAGCTGTTGGTCGTGCCTGTGTGCTCATAGTCATGGATGGCTGCAGCAAAGATGATGGCCAATACCTCAATCTCCGACAGGCAGTGCTGGGGGAGAGAGAGGTTGAGAGAAGGCAGACGCCCTGCTAGTCACTGCCTGAAGACTCCGCACACAGGCTCGGCCACTTAGCCCATCTTTCATTCTTCAAGGCCAGCTCTGGGGTGATCTCAGCTCCTGGAATGTGGAAGGCCCATTCTCCACCCCAGCACTACTCCTGAATTTTGGCCACACCCGAGATCTTTCTAGAGTGAGTAAAGCCAATCTGACTCTAAAGGCTACCCAAAGAACCAGAATGAGGAAAATGGAACTGGGAAGCTAGGCATGATAGTGTGCTCCTGTAATCCCAGCACTGTAGTGGGCTAAAGCAGGAAGATCTCAAGTTTGAGCCCAGTCTGGGCAACTTAATGACTTAACAAGATCCTGTCTCAAATATGAAAAAGGGCTGCTGATGTAGCTTAGTGGGAAGGCCCTGTGTTCAATCCCCAGTACAGAAGGAAAAGGGAGGGAAGAGAGAGGAAATTTTTGTTTAAATGGAACTGGGACTATAGTCTGGACTCCCTAGTTCCAAAGCACTGAGTCACAGAACAGTAGCCCTTGGGGTGGGGGGGAACCTACCACCATCCCTGTGCGGATTAGGCAGCAATGGACTGTCTGGGTAACATCAGCTGCATGGATCTGGTTGTGGTAAGGATTCTTGTACTTCCCATAGCCTGTCTCCAAGGCTTCCAGAAAAGACATCAAAAAAACAGTAGGAATCTGCAGTGAGCAGAAGGAAATTGAGCTATATTGAGGATCTGCAGGAGTGAAAAGAACAGGGCTGAGATCGGCGATCTCATCGTCCTGTAGGAGGCAGCATGGCACAGGGAGAAAGCACGGGCTCTGCACAGGTGGATCTGAGCTCACATCCTGGCTCTGCCAGCTGCTGGCTGTGAGGCCCTGGGCAAGTCACATGTCTTCCTGTACCTAAGATACCTAATCATAGAGTGAAGATAATAATAACTACCTGGAATTTAATGAGATAAGTAGAATATTTAGTAAATATTCTCCAAAGAGTAGCTATAATTATATTTCCCTGGCGATTGTTAAGGAAAGGAAAGAAAGCTTCCTTCCTACCTTCCAACCACCCACCCCCATGCCCAAATTCAAAACTATAGAAAGGGGCAGAGGCCTCAGAAGTGGAGGAAAGAATAAGATGACCCAGAAAGCAGCCACTTTCGACGAAGTGGGTCACCCACTCCACTGAGAAGTCTTCTCTGACCATCTCCCCTCCACATACACTGACACCTGTCCCACCCCATACACATACACAGGAGCCAGAGCTCTATCCAGCCTCTCTCAATTCTGCCCTGTCTATACATGTTGGGCATCTCCACCTCTTTCAAAAGGCACCAGACTCCTGTCCTTGGACTCCCTGAGGCTGGAAAGGGACTGAGGTTCAAGACCTGGGGAAGCTTCTGTAGGGATGAGCTACAGTGTGACAGAGACATAGGAGACATGCCACTAATCAGACCCTAACATCCCCCATCCCTACCCCTGGAGGGCTGTGCCCCAAATTCAGGGATTTTAAAGGACTGTTTCCATGACAACTGCCCTTGCTTTTGCGTTGCCATGGCGTCCCTGGAGGGGAGGGAAGGGAAAGGGAAAAGGAAAGGGAGGAGCAGGGAGGGGCTGCATGCCCAGGAAGAGAAAGTGGAGCTGGAGAAGGGGAGTCCAGCTGGGAAACCATAAGCAACTCCCTCTCTGATTGCCTAGGGCAGCTACTCTTGGATCTGACAAACCCAAGCCTTCCAGGTAAGAAGGTGGAGTCTAGGAGAAGCTGGCATTTGAAGTACTCCTAAGAAGAGTGTGGGGCGCCCATGTGGAAAGGGGACCCTGCTAGTCTCTGTCCTGGGGAGGGCAGTACTGGGAGGAAGAGTAACAAAACAGCAGGACTGGCCTCAGAAACTCAGTAAAGAAAATTTCAGCTGAGCTCAAGAAAGTTTTGAAAACTCTCTCCAGAATTGCTGGAAAAGGAGGTGCTCAAATGTCCAGGAAAGGTTCTGTCACAGTGGAGTGATGCAGAGGTGGTTGGGGTGACTATCCAGAGCCCAGCTAGGAGAGTGCCCTTCACCGGACGGCCTCTCTCTGTGGCCACTCAGAACGTGCATTTCCCTCAGCTCTAACATCAACTTCCCTGCCCGAGTGCCGACCACGTAACCTATGGCAACTCTTAAACCCCTTCCCCTTATCTTCCAAATGCAGTTTCCATGTGGAAGTGTCTTTTCCTGGCCTTTAAACCCTCCCAAAAGAGGCTCCCTTCTAGTGCAGGATTTGGAGAAGCCTCAACCCAGAGTGCTCTCCCTGGGCAGCCAAGCTGAAGAGCAAATGGAGCTCACACACACCCTCCTCCTGCACACAGCCCCAGCCCTGCCCTGCCAAGAGCTGGGGTGCAGGCAAGGGAGGGATCAGTTTTATTCCTCTTTCCTGTGTCAGGAAACAAGTGGAGACTCTAGTCCCAAAGGGCACTGGCTGACAGCACCTGGACTGTAGGCCTCAGAGTCCACAAAGAGGAGTGGAAAGGGGAGATGAACGGAGGCCAGCTGTAGAGGACAAGTTGGGTCAAGAGAGTCAAAGGGAAGGAGCAGAATCCCAACCTAAACATGTTTGGACTAGAATCCTTCCCTAATCAATAAGGTCAGAGGCTGGGACTGCAGCAAGGGCCAGTAAGGCTGGACTGGGGTAAAGAATGGGAGATTTGGACCCTGAGACGGGAATGGCCCACGGAATCTCAATGTTGGGAATCTTTTGGAACAGGAATGAGAAGTGAAGGCTCCTTTCTGGAGGCAGAGGCGGGATGCTGCCCAACCTTGAATCGGCTGATGAGGTTATGTCGAGTCAGCAGCTCAAAAACAATGGTCTTCAAGGCGTGGTCATCTGCTGCCCGGTTCAAGGAAAAGACATCAAAGCACCAGAGATCCAGGTTCTGTGGAGAAACAATGGACTAGGCAGGGGAGCTCCCTTTGGGAACTGAAATTAGATTTCAAGGACTTTTCAATGATTACGGAGACTGGGGAAACAGGACAATAAAGAGGTGGAAAAGTAGGCCTCTTTCTGCCCAGGTATCTCTCAGTATGGGAGAGATAAGACGGGGGTTTGCCCTTACAGTGGGCAAAAGTCATTTAAAGGAACACAAGAACATTATTAAAAGAGAAGGTAAAAATCACACCAGAAATAGAATCTGGAAGTCCCAATGGCTATTCCAACCCCAAATTTCACCTCTTTTCCAAAAATCCAAGGATCACCTTGAGACAGTTGTGGACTGCAGTGGAATAGGTGGGGCCCACAGAGGTATACGTTCTCCGGAACATCCTGAGAGAGAGGGATGTAAAGAAGTCAGGGGTAAAGTCCTGGGTAGCAGGATCTGACCAAATGGCGCAATGGGGATAAACCACAGGCATGTGGGATCATGAAAGACCAGGGTGCCAGGAAAAACAGGGGCACGGGGAGGGGGAGGGGGAGGCTGAGCGTGCAACAACCTCACCGTTCCACGAAGATCCCAGCCTGCACAGCATGCACAATGCTTCGGAACTTGGGCTTCTCCTCCGCTCGGCGGCCTTTGGCTCGGGTTTGCTGGGTGAAGGTGGAGGCCAGCCAGTCCCGTACCTCTGAAGGCACGGCATCTGAACGAAGCTCCTGCAGCTCATCCTCAGTGTCCAAGATTTGCCTGAGAAGGGGAGTCAGAGAGAACAAGCCACAGTGCTCCCACTGCCTGAGACCCCATACCCAGCCACACCCACCCCTGCCCCGTGACTCTTCTGCCAGCTCTTGGCTCTGACCGCCCCCCTCTTCTTGCTATTTCTTTGCATTTCTGTATCACTGTCTGACAACTCTAGTAATGAAACAGCTCACTTAGATGAGGCAGTAAGCACCCCGATGATGAAGTATTCGTGCAGGCAAAGGGATGTCTTTTGCAGTGGATGCTGCACAGCAGACTCAGAAAAAACTATTCTTAGCCACGTATATGAAATTTTAAACAAGACAGGTAAAAAAAAAGTTTAAAAATGTGAAATTTGTTTTCTAAATTCTATTTAAGCTAATGCCTCCAAAATATTATTTCAATGTAAATCAGCATAAAATACATTAATGATATATTTTACATTCTTTTTTCTAAGACTTTGGAATCCAGCATATAATCTATTTATACAATTTCATCCATCCTCGGCACATTTTCAGCGATCAATGGCCATGTGTAACCGGTGGCTCCCTTATGGGGCACCACAGGTCTGAGAGGTATTCTACACGGTGGTCTCTTCCAATGCTGAAGCTCTCCCCTATGTATCCTTTCTCTCTCTTCCTCCTCCCACTTTCCCTTTTTCTGGGGCTAGCGATGAACCCAGGGTCCCACAAAGACTCGGAAAGTGTTCTACCACTGAGCTATACCCCTCTTTCTTACTGTGTTTATCTCTATCTCTGCATCTCCATTTCTTTTTCTGTCTCTTTATCTCCACCTCTAGTCGATCTGCCCCACCATCTCTCTCTCGACTGTCCTGGTCACTGCCCGCAAACTCCAGCTCTCCATCCTACTCCCTCTCTCTGAATACTGTACCAATCTGGTATCTTTCTACTTGTTTGTAGTTCTCCCTCACCGTGTCTCATCGATGTAGACGGCCTCCAGCAGAGAAGCTGTGTACTCCAGGTTTTTCTTCAGTTCCTCAATGTTTACCTCTCCATTCTCCAACTGCTTCACCATGTAGCGTAACCTGCAGGGTGTGGATAAGACATCCTGCTTAGACACTGCTACCTTGTCATGGAACCTTCTAATAGGGTGTATTTTACAGCAACAGTCTTAGTCTTCCATAAGTTAATAATTCTAAAGTTAATGATAAAAGCAGTTAATGTTTTTTCATCTTGGGCTATGGCCAATGCCAGTATTAAATGTATCTACCCCCAAACTTGAACCCCAGACTATCCAGACTCCCCTGCTCCCACCTACCTTCTGATCTCTCAACACTGCCCCCCGCCACCCCCTTCAGCCAGTATTTTCTGAAAACTCTAGTTTAAACTATCTGCCAGCCTGGGCCAACCAGAATTAGGCAGGTACAAGCCCCTGGGGTGATGTTTTTAGGATGATTTCATTCTTATATATGAATAACTGAGAGCTGAAACTGCTTATTTCCCCTAGAAAGAGGGCTTTGGGATCAACAGCAATCAAAATAGTCCCCAGGATTCTTTCACTGACTCTAGGTCAAGATAGGGAAAGAGGAAACATGTCTATAGCCCCTCTGTCCCTGGCAGGGATGGCAAACGACACAAAACAAAGACCAATCTGAATGTTTTCGCCTGGCCTCACTCCATGCAGGCAGAGCTAATGGATTATGATTTCAGAAGCCATCAACCAGGACAAAGCTGGTTTAACCCCTCTCTCCCCAGTCATGTGTCAGAGACTCGTAGGCAGGTTACTACGCCCATCCTGGTCCAGCCAAAGCGTCTCCCTGGCAAAAGTGATCCAGTAGAGTCAGGATCTCACTAACTGGATGCTTTGCTTAAAGGGGCAATCCCCTCATGCTTGGTTTTTATGAAGTCTGGAGTCTGACTGAGAGGCTCCTTAGAAGTCTGGCGAGTCCAGCCCCAGCAATAACAAAGCAAACAAGACTCTCTGGCTTTAGATGGTGATTTTAAAGAAAAAAATTCCTTCCTCTTCATAGCCCTGCCCCACACCACCCAAAACAACACTAGAGTGAAAGAGTAGCCATTAGAATTCCCACTGAAAGGGGCTTCGGAAACCCAAGGTCGCCTTATGAGTCAGAGAGGAGAAGAGCATGAGTCAGGGAGGAGAGGCTGGAATTAGCATCAATTCCCAGGGATGACAGGGAGGGAGGACAATGGCTTTCCTGAACAGAAACAGCTTTGGAATCCTGGGGTCTCAGCAGCTCTGGAATAGGGGAGCCCTAAATAGCCAGCCCCAGGAAATATCACAGGCCAACTCTCACCTGAAGACCCAGCAGTCCTGGAGAACATGTCTGAGAGCAAATGGGGCAGAAGGAAAAGGGGTAAAAACTGGAGAGAGAATAAAGGAGTTGGAGGCAGCCCGGCAACCTCTGCCAGTGGGCTCTCTTCAAATCTCACCTCTAGCCTCCCTGCTGCACTGTTTCCATGTGGAAACAGCAGGTTGCTTAATGAGAAGGAAGGCGGGTTTACTAAAGCTCAGCCCCAGTTCCAGCTTCATTAGGGAGGAGGAATGGAGAGGCTAGACATCATAAAAGGCTTTCCCGGCCAAATGAGCTAAAAAGGGGCTGCCAGCCAGGACTTCCAGAATAGACAAGAAATCACAGAACAAAGGGGTACACCCTGCTTCTCGGACCCAGGCACAAGCCAGGGCTTCCCTCTCCTCTCCCACAGCAGTCATTCCCGATCGCCAGAAGCCTGGATGCTGAGAGCATGCAACCCAGAAAGGAAGGCCTCTACACTGTCTGTGGTCGTCTGTCAAGGATTCCCACCCCTACCTTAACCAGCCCTTTACTCAGCCCTTTTACAACCAAAAACTGTCCCCAGGAGTTCTCCCAGTTTCCTTATGGGCCCACCTCTTCTTGATATGCACATATCCCAGCACTAGCTCCCAAGTGAACAGCCACACCCACGGGCACTCATTTGCATATATTTGCATAATCACTAACAATGCTGCCAACTCTACACTTTAAAAGTGCTTTCTCCTGCATTATTTCATTTATCCTCACAATGGGCCTATGACAGAGGGAGTTAGAGAAGGAAATGCTAACCCCATTTCCAATGCAAAAACCCTAGCTCCAGGGGCACCTTTGGCAAAGTGTATTGAGCAGCAAAGTCTCGGAGGCTGGAACCCTAAGTTCAAAGCTATCATGTCCTGCTGTCACTAACTCTTAATCAGTATTTATTAAAATGTGGCTCAGAGACTCCCAGAATCAGACGTGCCTTAGACACATGTTGAACATTAGATTCTAGACCTCCCTGTATTGGACCAGGATTTCTGAGATGGTCCAGGAATATGCATTCTGAAACACCCCAGATGATTTTAATGCACTCTGCAGTTTTCGAGCTTTTATTTCAGTGTCAATTTCCTCAACTGTGAGATGGTAAAGATGATAATAAACCAGCCTCATAAGGCTATTAGAGGATTAAATGAAATAATATATGCAAAAGGCCTGACACATGCAAAAGGTGTCTCCACAAATATGATTTCAACAGGAAACTGACTAGCATCGTACTGATCTCACCCAGCTTATACCATGCTCCCTTCAAACCCAGCAAGCACCTGCCTATTCTATCATTCTAAATACGGGGGGGGGCCTTAGTTTGAAGGCAGGTGAATAGGAAGCTCTCTAATGAAAGAGACAAAAGAATTATAAAGACTATGATTCTCCCATAAACTTATGATGGGAGCTAAACGATTTGTCCAAGGTTATACAACTTGTCAATCTTATCAGTCTCACACTAATGAGGTCTACCTATATTCACCAAACAATGAAGGTGTTAGAGCAAACAAGTCTAGTCATGTGGAGAGGGGCAGAAAGCATTCCCCGAAGCTCCTTCAGCCTCAGCCAGTTGAATCATGTGAGATGACAAGCACCTGGATGGCACTGACATAACTGATTTATCTTGGCCTCCATACACACAGCAGGAGTGTATGCTCAGTGAGCATTCATCAAATAAGAAACAGGAAAACAGGGCAGCTTAAGCAGGTGGGAGTCCATCTCCCAGAGCTCACAGCTGAGACTTCTAAGCCACAGCCTCTGAGACTGTAATGGTGAGCCTGGAAGAAGAGTGGAATCATACGTGGACTTGGAACATACCACTCCCTCCACTTGAACTCCAAGCTCCTTCTCTTGCCACATCTAGGAGCTCTTGTAGAGCTTCTGAACCAAACATCATCCTGATGCTAGAAGGAAGAGGATAAAGAGGAAAAGGAAGATGAAAGAATAAATTTGACAAAGAAAAAGTTCAAGAACTGGAGCTGGACTCAAGCAGCTGAAAGGATACAGATGCTGAACTACACCTTCCTAATGTCGAATAAACACACACACAATACTTGCTGGCCAGCTGGAGCTCTTATTCCAAAGCCTTTCAGTTAGGATCTCCCCAAACCTAAAGCCCACACTCAATGTTCCACAGGAAGGCCTTCTCCCCACCTAGATATCAGTTTTAATCCAGCCCTCTGGCTCAGCCCTCAGAGAACCAGCCATGGGAATGGTCCCTTTCCCAGTAGAACAAGATGCCCAGTACAGTCTAGTCCTCAACCAGCCTCATGGAAAAATGGAAGCTTCTATTTCCATCCCTACCCTGTGCGATCACTACCACCTCTTTCTACTTTACCTTGTCCCTCAGCAATGGAAAAGCCTCAGATCTCAACCCCTGGAAGGCCCAAGGCTCTCCTAGCTCTAGGCAGCCAGCTGGAAGAGAAGACTCCTGCCAGTAACACCACTGAGGAGCCCAGCTTTCCCACCAGCTCATTTCTTTGAATCACCACATGGCTGATGTTCTGGGGGTTTCCACAATCCCTTGTCACTATTTCCAGCACCCACCCCTACTTACTTGACTGTAAGTAGGAGGTTAGGATAAAACAATCCAAAGCCAGGGGGACTTGGAATAAGAAGAGTTGTATTTCTAGTTTGAGTTCTTAAGAAAGAAAAAAAAAATTCAAAGGGATGTAAAGTTCTAAAGATTTTGGTGATTAGGAAGGAGAGAAAAAGGAGAACCCCTGATAAGTTACCTACGATAGTGAAGAGAAAGCAATAAAAAGAAGAGATGGAAGGGCCAGGGATTTTGCTCAGTGTTGCTGCCACCTGCCTTGCAAACAAACACAAGGTCCTGAGTTCAATCTCCAGTGCCAAAAAAAAGAAGAGATGGAAATGGAAGGTGAATAAAGTAAAGGCAAGGTGGATAGAGTAAAAATTGCACACACACCATATGGGGACAGTCCAACAACTGGTAAGTCCACATGCAACCTATCCTCTCTTCCTTCTCTCTTCTAACCTCCTCCCTGGCACCTACCTGAGAATGGGGCCTTGCAGATGGCTCCTCTGAACAGGAACAAGACTTGCCATGAGAACCAAAGATTTCCACTCCAGAGAATCAAAACACTGGGAACTGGGGGCCTAGGACCCCTAGAGGGAAACAACTCCCTCTTGAGCCCCCAACTTCCTCCTGCAGGTCCCAGAAGAACTGAGCATCTGACCAGAAAGCACTTTGGGGAGGAGAACTGGGGGAGCCTGGCTAAAGGAAGAAGGAATTTGAAGCAGAGACCCAGCCTACAGGAACTGGGTGAGAGGCCGCGGGAAAAGTTTCACATCTGAATCAGACTGAAAACAAGAATCTGTTGTCAGAAGAATCCCAGAAAGGACAGAAATAGCACAGGCCAGCCCCTTGCTCTGAGGAGGTGGGGCTCCTCTTTGGGAAGAAGAGGTTAGGACACAGGGACAAGCAACCATCCTGAATCTGTCACAGAAAAGTCTGGCTTGCAAGAGGAAGGAGCTCGGCCAAAGTCCTCCCCCACCACCAGGGGCTGAGAAGATTTCTTGGTGCTTGTCTGAAGCCATTCTTCATGTTTAACCTTCCTGAAAGAACGGAAGAAAAACACGGGGATAAACTCCCGTTCCTGAGGAGATTTAAAAACTGTAGGGGAGGTGCTTCTTCAGAGAGGGCTCCACAGGGAGGGAAGGGCCCTCAACCCTACACAGTGAATACAAGTCAGAAGGACTTGTTCATAAAGACCAAGAAGCTGCACAAAACACTTCAACGTTCCCAGCCCCAGCTTTCTTCTCTGTAAAATGGAGATTGGTGAGAAACTGTTTGTGAACTAGAAAAAGGTCAATCTAGCCCAGAGGCAGAGAAGTGGGGAGATGGCCCAGAGGGGGCCAAAAGAGGGACCCAGAAGGAACCCGGAGACCAGGACGCCCTCTTCCACCTCCAGACTTTGTTCCTTTCACAGGCTGGGAAAAAAGAAGCTGGTCTCTGCCAGGCGAAGTGGACGTGCGCACATAGCACTAGCCGCCTCCCCATTGGCTGTGAGATGACATCACCAATACAAGAACAGTGGGGTTGCGATTGGTCAGCTAAGGGGTAGGGCGGGGCTAAGAAGGCGGCAGGGTGAAGCCTAACGCCTCAGTGAAGAGTTCTGGGCGGCAGCAGTTCCTTCAATCTAGGGTTTAGGGCAGGGGGTGATGTGGAAACGAGGAAAAGGGCTCATGGGAATGAGTATAGCAGGAGAGAGGGAAAAGAGAAGAAACCGGCCAAGAGTTTGGATTTTAAGATGGGAGGTCTTTCCCCTCAAAAGCAAAGAGAAACTAAGAAACATTGTGACTGTGCCAAATCCTTGAAGGATTTTAAACAAATGAAGTTTAGGAACCTGCTGTTTCTCAGCTCAGCTAGCACTGGGACAAGTGCATGTGCGCTTCCTCAGCAGTGAGAGCTAGAAGGTTAAAGACCTCCGAGTTGTTTTCTACTAAACTGGTGGCTATGAGGGAGGGCTGCTTTAGACTGCGAAAGAAAAGAAACCCTCTCTCTCTCTCTCTCTGTGCCCTGTACCTCCACCCTTTCCACAACACCAGAAGCTGATTCATTATTTTCTGAAAGAAAGGACCAGACCAGTGTCGGGGGACGCAGAACCCTGCCAGCCAGGGTATGAAGGACATCTGGCCAGCGGGCAGAACATGCTGGGGGGGGGGGGGTGGCAGCCAGCTGTGCACACCTGAAACTTCAACAACTACCAGGCCAGGCCAGCTCCCCTCTCTCCCTTGTCCCCTCACTCTAGGCCCTAGTGCTCTAGCCTCAGCCCTCCTACTGAAAGGCAGGGGTTTCTTAAACTAGCAATGCTCTGGAGAGGATATCTTATCCATTCTTTTCTCTCCTCTCCTGCCTAATAAAGTTGGTTGGAAAATGACTGCCTACCACCTCACCCCACATACACAGGCTACATCACTCATTCTAGCCTCTTACTATCAACTGATCCTAAAAAGAAGGAATATTGGTCAGCTACCATTCCTTCCTGGGGAAAACATTTCACGTACTCACCCACGTATATATGCACACCTCACACACTACCTGTGTCTGAGCTCAGGAGACTGTCCTACCTGGAAGGCAGGACTTATATATGAAAGCCCCAGCAAAAGGTACAATATAAATTTTCCTTTAGCTCTTAACTGTAGTTTAAAAATAGAAAGGAGCTCAAGCATAATGCCTCCCTGCCCTGCTCATGCGCAGGCTTTCCCATCCTGCACTGAATAAAGGATGGGAGACTCTGTTTCTGGTCAGAAAAGAGTAGAGGAGCAGCAACAGGGACAGGGTATTGTGTGTTGGACAAGGAATTAACTGGCTGATCTGAATGCTCCAAAATTTACAAATTAAAGGGGTCAAATTCTAAATCCTAGAAAGAGGATATCAGTAAAAATCAGGAGAGTTCTACCTAAACTTTCTCACTTATGTAACCTCGGGCAAGTCATTCTGAGCTCTTGTTTCCTTGTCTAAAGGGAGTAAATAAAATGTGCTTCATAGAATTTTCACAAGGCCTTGATGAGATATTGTATGAGAGCACTTTGGGAACTATAAAATAATACATGAATGCAAAGGATTATTATTTAGTCCAGTCCTTCAGTTAGCTTAGCAAATATTATTGAAAGCCCTCCATAAACAAAGCCCCATATGCCCACCCTCATAGGCAGAATCCACTTCTTCATCCAAGCCCCAAATAGTACCTGGACTACTAGAGGAAAAGCTCTCGTCTCCCTGCCACCACCACTGAAGATGCTTGGGCTTCACTCTGGCTTCTCATTGCACAGGGGCCAGCAAGGCAGTGTAAGCAGAGGCCAGAAATTATGCAGAGCATGGAGCTCCAGAAACCAATAGAAACCAGCCCTCTACCTCACCCAAGCATTTCTGATCCCCTCACACCCCTGGCTTCCCATTGCTATATGAGCAGCCCCAGTTCTGGCAGCTGGCTGGGCAGAGTGGCGGGGGTGGCTCTAGAGATAAAAATAGCCCCCCTGGTGGCAGAGCTGGGGTGCCATCCTGGGAGGCGGCAGACCTAGGTTGACATGGCAGCAGTGGTGAGAGATCTCCAAGGCACTGGACAAAGGAGCTGAGGGGAGAATGGGAAACAGTTGGGAGAAGGACAAAACCAGGAGACTACAGGGAGGTGACGAGTGAGTGGGAGTTACTAAGAAGTCAGGGAAAGAAGATCTGGAAGGTACTGCAGGAGGGAGTCAGGGAAAACACTGATGGAGGAAGTATAAAGGGGGAGTCTGTTTCTACCCCGCCTGTCTGAAGGCAGCTCCCCCTCTGCCTTCTAACCGGAGAGTGTTTCCAACAGGTGCTCCTAGCAACAGCCCAGCACAGCTCAGATCATGTGAGGAAGGAAGTGATCTAAGCAGTATGAGCCTGAGACCAGGCCAATGAGGATCATAGTATCCCAACTCTCAGCACAGGACACAAACAAGTTCCCTCTGCCCAGACTTCATCCCTGGAGACAGAGAAATTGAGAAGGGTGGGCAAGAATGTCTGAGGACTGCAGACGGAAGAGGAGGCTCCCCGGAGCCAGTCCAAATGAACTCTTTCTCCACTTCATTTGTCCATCCTTCTCTCCCTTCCTATCCTATTTGATTCTGCTCATTACCACCTCCACACAGACCACCCAATGGCCTTCCAAACCACATCCCAACAGATGTTTCCAGCAGATGCCTAACAGATGTTAAAGGCAGCCTAGGATGGAAAAGTGAATTGGAAAATTGGCAAGGGATAATGACAGGTATGGTGAGGCAGCAATAGATCATGGATCAGCAGAATTTGAATCCTGTCCCAACACTGCCTCCATTACGCCAACTCTCTGCGGATATCAGTTTCCTTCTCTGTAACCTTTTATGGCTCTCAGGTTTAGGACCTGGGGAGGAGGCACCAGAGAAGTAGGCTGTCTGGGCCATGATTCCCAGATTCTAGAGTTCACCCTTTCTGACTATTTCACTGATTCTCCCAAGTCAGCTCTAACCTCGTCTTAAAAGAGAAGAGTAGCCTTCCTCTTCATCACGGAAAGATCACATTCTAACCTCCAAGAATTTCCCAGTTCTCCTGCATATCTACCTCCAATCCATTTTGCTGCAATCAAAACAGCAGCCAACTTTGTTGGCACTTTAAAGAAGAACAGAAAGGGAGAGAATGGGCGGGACAAAGACATCTTCGGGTGAGACTACAACAATTTGATTTATTATCTATCTCAGGTTGGAATTCTAAAGCTCCATGCTTGGTAGAGAGTCAGTCAGGGTTTAGGGAGCTTGGCAACACGGCTGGCATGTGTGCTTACTCAGCCCAGACCACATGAAGTTTCCAAACAAGGTGGGCATAGAAGAGAAAACCAAGGAGAAGGTGCCAAGCTACATATGCAAGAGCTGATAATCAGGGGAGCAGGAAACCAAGGACAGGAGTGACAGGAGAAAGTTCCTTCCTTTCTGCTTTCCTTCCTTCCATAGTCCCCAGGCCCTGCCTGCATCCTCCACCCCAGCAAGCCAAGCTCCTTTCCTAACCTAAACGGTGCCAATACCAGCTGGCAGCCTAATCACCCCACTGCAGCCTCCATAGTTATTTGCAGATCTGACTCCCAGTTGCAACTGTAGAATAAACTGCCCTGAGAGGCTAGCTTTAGCCAGCATCATCCCCCAAAATGCTCCCTTTCTGACTCTTTTCCCAGCCCCACACTCTCAGGCCTCTCCCTGGATATACCATGGCTTTTGTTCCTGCCCACCCTGCCTCTCTACCAAAACCCCAATGCAGCTCCTTCAGTGGATTTCTGCCAGGTCTGGAATGCTAACACAGAATCCTAATCTGCTGTTTGCTTCCCAGATGAGGCTAAGCTCCACAGATGCAGCAGGAGCTGAGGGGACAGGAGGAGCTGAGGGGACAGGAGCAGCTGCAGGACTCAAGGATATGAGGGCAGAGGGACAAGCATTGGCACTGAGTAGATAACAACTCAAGTTTTCTCCTTTTCCCTGCTCAGTAGCCTTTCTCAGGCCCCACAGATGCCCCTTCCCAAGATTCTCTCCTACATCCCTGGGACCATCCAGTCTTCCTCCCTTAGGGGGTAAACCTCATTATCTAACCACTTCCAGTCTCCCCAGTTGTCTCACCTCCAACCCACCTGCTGCCCTGGTTTTGTGCCTCTTTCTTTGCTGCTGTCCTGAAGAGAGTTGGAAAATAGCCACTCAACTTCCGTACCTGAGAAAAATCAGCCCCTTGAGCTTCAAAGGCAATTACCTGGCTTCCTCCCTGGAGGATCTTGCAGGATGAGGTCACTAAGAAAGCAAAAGAAAGGTCTTGCAGAAG